ATAAAATCAATGTGAGCTCCATGTGATGAAGGGATAAAGACCAGTGCAGAAGAATGTAAAATAAGTAATCACACAACTCCACGTGATCAGGTGATACAGACTGTTTGGCTATACATGAAATTTTATAAAATACATTTTCGTTGCGTCAAGTAATGGTTTTAATGTGATGCGAGTCTGACATGACTTAGAAATCAAATAATTTGAAGGTTGGGACATGTTGAGAAGTTCTATTTAGTATTATAGTCTCCACCAAGGTTCGAAGTATCATATCGGTACTTAGAAATGGTTGAAACTTTATTTTTTAATTTTTTTTTTTACATTTTATTTTTTTGAAAAGTTTTTAATATGTTTTTTATTATTAAAAAATTAGGGGTCCAAAACACCTGGAAACAGGTGTTTTGGATCGTATCTTTTTCAAAAGATATGATATYAGGGCATATCGTATCGATACTTTGAATCATGATCTCCACTAACTACAAGGTCTCAAAATTTAAAAGTATCAATTCCCAATTAATATCTTGTTTGGAGAAATGAGAGCTTGATCACCTTATTTTGATGCATTTCTTCAGCATTATCTTTGTTGTTTGATAATTGAGATCATCATCATTATCTTTACCATCAAAGTCTTGTCCCAATTATATGGGGTTGGTTACACGAATCTTGTTTTATCATTCCATTCTGTTCAAAGTTATCTCCGYCATCAACGCTTAAATCATTTCTTACTACTTTCACCAAARTCATATGCACCACCTCTTCCAGCCCCTTCAAATTATAACAGATCACTTATTGAACATGGGTTTTAAATAGAGATAATTAGGGTTTTCAAGCTCTTCTTGAACATGGRTCATTCTAAATTTCTAACTTCAATCTGTTTATCGCCTCTGAAGCAAATTGCTGAAACTTGCAGTTGGATTGATCAAGTACCCCAGAGGAATAACCCTAACCCTAACCCTAAGCCCAAACCATCTCCCTTCCTGTCTCTTGGTTGGGGCTGGAAATCTGCCTGGCCAGACCAGGGATGCTGAAGTGGGCCTACTGTGCTTATTGGGCCATAAGCACAGTAGGCCCAATAATTATTTGGAACGCTAGTCACATGGAGTCATGGGCAAACACTATTAAGTTCCCCAATTGTAATTAACATAATTAGTATATACTAGACCCTATATCAGATTTTCTGGGCCCAATTGACCCAGTCCAAATTTGACTGGGCCAAGATATCACTKCCCCCTAACCACTAACCCACTTTAGCCAAACACAAGAATCAATGGTGAATCCTCGGTCCTCAACTCGATCGACGCCATTAAAGTCTATTGTACTAATTCTGACCCGACTTGGGGTGGCCTAATTAACCAGACCCTAATATTGGTTCAGCCTTTTCCGGTCCAAGTCATACCAAAGGACTTAAAAATCAACGCAAGTCATGGTTCAGTCAATCACGTTGGGCTTGGGAAACCTCAACTGACAGATTTGTACCCGTTGGTTTGGCTTAAATCGCCGGGGGCCGTCTTATAACAGCTGAAGTGGTTGAACTGAATGGATTATTGTTGTCTTTTAATGGATAAAACAATTAAATAATAAACTATTTGAGGATATATTAATCCACACAATTTCGGCTTCATCCATTTTAAGGATTTCACAACCTTTCTAACAATTTATTCAAGAAAATACAGTAGTAAGTCATTCAGTTCAGCTATTTCAGTTGTTATCAGACAGTGAAGGACTCCGAATTGACCAAATCAAACCTAGAGTTAAGGTTCAGCCAGTCAAGTTTCAGTTGAACCCCAACCCAAATTGCAGACATAACCTTCACATTTCCTTTACATTTTTCTTCTTCAGGCTCGGGGCTATGTTTTCTTCTTAATCTGATATGGACCACCCTTTGATATGGAATCATCTCATTGGTTGGTATGAAGAGTATCAGAACCTAAATGCAACCTACGGTTTTAATTGCCCAAGCCCAGATTCTAGATGGGTTGTAAATTTGTCCTGGACGGGCCATGGCCAATGGAGGCCCAAAATTGGGTTTGGGGCGTTGGGCGTTGAGCTTTCCCCATCTCATGGACCTGAATGACCAGGGTTGAACCCATCATRCTTTTTAATTCATTGGCTCCATTTGGTTCGTGGGAATAGGGGTCTGGAATTGGAATCGGAATGGGTTATTCCAATTCCAACTATTTTGTTGCGTGGAATTAGAATCCCATTCCCATTCCTACTGGAATGACATTCTTTAATTTGAGGAAATGGCAATTCCCTACCTCTCCCTTRGGAATGAAATTCCATTCCTGCTGATTTTAATTTATATTCYCATTCTTATTTAAACCAAACAAACTATGGGAATAGATCATTTCGATTTTAATTTCGGAGGATTTTGATTCTGATTCTAATTCTAAATCTGATTACGAACCAAACGGACCCATTATTTGCAATATTGACATTAACAAATATTTTTAAAAGATTTGTCTATGTTGAGTCCTACACTCCTACTAACCTGTGAAGTAAACTGTGTTTCATATGCCAAGGGATAAATAAACATCAGCCTCTAACTCCGTGGGACCCAATGGGACCCAGTGTGATAATGCCAATACAGGGGGRTTGTGTGGTCACAAGCTTACTTCATATCATATTGAAGGGTAAGTGTTCCACATGCTAGCATTTGCCATCCATGTTTTGTATAYAAATCCACCAATTTTTGGCACATGGAGTGGTGTATACTGTGTTGGGCCCAGGCTTTTAAATTGGATCCATTCAAATTTTAACAAAATCTCAACGCAAGCCCACCCAAGTTTTACCCCTAAATTCAAAGTATCATAAAAAGGGACCTATTTAATTGGTCAGATGACCAACTGATCGTGGTTCAGTTGCTGGATAAGAAAATTAGAAGGTGTTTTAAATGGCAGTCTGTTACTAGCTAAAAACATGTGCAGCATGGCAGTCAACTGCTTTCTATGAATTTAACGTTGACAGGATTTCCTACAGACATTGCAAATACTCTGTAAGCATGCGAATCTAATTGTTACACCTCGCAAAAAGTTGATCCAACCCTTGAATCCGACCCAATCCAATCTGAAAAAATAGGGATAGGGTCTCATATTTAACCACCTAAATTTGAGAATGACCCGAACTGAATCAACCTAGAAAAAACCTGGGTTGGGTCATGGGTCAACCTGCTRACCCGATTGTTAGGTYTAATTAGGACTATTTATGTACTCTTAAAAGCTTTTTATCTCTCATCTTTACTATTTAGTATTTACTCTTTAAATTGTTGAATCTTCAAGTTTTTTCTTTTTTTTTATGTGTTTGGAATTTTAAGGTTAATTTTTTTTTTAATTTTGACACTTTTCATGTCTTTTTTTCTTTATTTTATAAATTATCTGTTATTTTAGSGATGACCCGAATTGACCTGTGGGTCAACCCTAACCCAAACATTTAGGGTTAGGGTCTAGCATTTGCTGACCCAACCCGAAAGTCATCCTGATCCGAAATGAACCTACAATATCTTGACCCAACCCACCCAATCCAATTGCCAAGTCTACTACTAATTGTGCATTTTAAGCATCTCTCCGCGAAGTTAACATACATATATAGAAGATATTCCTAATGTGTAAATAGATGGTATGCATACAAAATTTGTGATTGCAGTAGATCATGGCTCAAATTTAACATACATGTGGAGGAGATGTTCCTAGTGTGCCATTGGACACTATGCTGTCAGCATATTAACACACTTTTAACTTAGCAGATCCGGGTTATTAAATTATTCTGTATTTTTTTTTTCCTTTTTCTACAGGTGTTTATCTTGTATTTTCTAAAAAATAAACTAAAACTACGTTACTTTTTTATTGTTCCGAACTAGACCTGTTCAACCAAATGAGGGGCAGCCTAGTTTGTAGGCTGGATGATTTGTCTCAACGAAGATGTGGCTTCGAGTCTAGCTATTATCGTCTTTGAAAGAAAARAAGAGTTGTATAAATATCAAATTGGATATTGATGTAATGTTGTATTGTTTATAGAAAAAGTAATGGCCCCTAGAGGGATTCAAGCCACGTATAAATATCAAATTGGATATTGGCGACTTACGCTTAATTTTCACCAAAGTTTGAATGGATTTGGCCCATTTATAAATAAAATTGAGAAATTGTAGTAAATGATTTGAAGTACTAGGGCTCATTGGTCAGATAGATGGCATAAGCCTAGCCTGAGTTTGAGTTTGTTCTTGTAARTTATAAACCAAATGAATTTAAAATCATGGTTTTTAAAACTGACCTAGTGGCCAAACCCGTTAGGGGTCCGGTTAGCGGTTCGAGTAGTCTGACCGTTTGATCTGAACAGTCTGTCCATTCTAAAAAAATAAAAAAATTTGAAAAACAGTTAAAATAGTTTGAATAATTAACTGGCCGGTTCAGCGATTTGCTGACCAAAATCAACAGTTTTGGGGGAAAAATGGAACCGATCAAGTAATCGATTCCTGGTTTTTCCGCGTCCGATCCGGTCCGATTTTGAACACCATGTTTAAAATTACTTGCAAGAAATTTAAACGTAAACAATTTGATTAAAACACTAACACACATATTGGATAGGATTTGATCCAATTATATCAACCTTAATAGGATTTGAATTTGAATTTGCATTGAGATAATTAGTTACTACTTACAGCCCCATAAGTGCCTGTTTGGGGGCTTTCACGGAGTGACTTCTAGCTTCATGAGGTGGGCGTCAGTCACACCAATAACCTATTAATTATGTTTGGTGAAAAAATGGAGGGGGCATTTGTTTTATGGTAATGAGGGCAGATAAGTTCTAAGTTGGTGGGTTTTATGGAGAAGAAAGGAACTCATGTTCGGTATTTTATGAATAAAATGGTCATTATATAATTTTACTTAATAAATAAAAAAAATATTGATAAATAGATTTATCCACGTATATATTTCTCAACAAATAATTACTTTGTTAAATGTATTTATCTAAGTAAATGAATTATCAACAAACGAACGAGACAACCTCAATCAAGATTCAGCCCTCCCAAACAAGCCCTAAAACAAAGGCTTGACAGGCCAACCTCTGCTTCAATTCTCTGGCACTGCCCAAGGGCCAAGGCAGCTCCAGTGATTTGGCGGGAGATTTCTTTGTCAGGGAAGAAGGGAAGGAACAACGTTATCAGAAAGAAGATCTTCAAACCATCGGAAAAGCAGCCATCAAAAATGGCTGCACCTAGTGGGAGCGGCTCTTCTAATCCTTCTCCTGCAGCTCCAAAAATCCTCTTAGCCAAGCCCGGATCCGTCCCCGCTGGCTCCACCGTCGCTAAATTCATCCGTGGCGGCACCGGAGGCGATGATGAATCACTTGCCCTCCGTTCTCGTCTTCCGCCTCCCGGTTCTCTTAATCTCCTTTCCGATTCCTGGGAATTCCACATCGATCGAATTCTTCCTGTATGTTTTCTGCTTGTTTCCCGTTTCCCGACTGACTTGTTCTGTTGTTTATGCACAGTACACTGTAAGCATGCTTTTCTATGTTTTGCAGTTCATGACTGAGAACACTGATTTCACGGTCATTGGAGTGATCGGTCCTCCCGGCGTGGGGAAGTCGACGATCTTGAATGAGCTCTATGGGTTTGATGGAACGTCTCCTGGTAGGGCTCGTATAATCAATGGTTTATTTGAGTCTTAAAATTTCGAACCTTTTTTTTTGTATCAGTTTCCAATTTCGTTTCTGGAAGTCTCTTCCATGACTAATCACGGCAATAAGAGTGTAGAATAAGATAAAAGAAACCCATTTTGAGTGGGATGGGAGATAGAAAGAGCAAGAATCCCTTTCTTCTGTTTTTGGTAAATGGCAAAAGTTAAGTCACGACTCAAACGCAATAGCCTCACTGACGGGACTGAGGAGGTGCAAAAATGAACCTTGAACTCATTTTGGCTCTTATGAAATCCCAGGGTTTCTTTGTGTCTACCCAATACTACTATGCAATGTTCACTTTCCACTCCACAAACAATATCTTGTTAATTTGGCTCAGCTACCAAAATACAATAACTGGAAATGTTCTTTTTTTTTTATTTTTTTAAATGATAAAGTACAGATTTAAATTTGCTTCAATAATTGTATTAAAGATACATCAAACCCATCTACACCAGTGGACTGTACACTGGAATATATAAGATACAATTTACACCCCAACTGTCAATTACCCAAAAAGATGTGCCTAAAAAAGAAGGTGTTCCTCTAAACAGTTTATTGATTCCTAATCATGAATACAACATGCCTTGAAATTTCCTAGCAACCCATTTCTTCTGGTTCAATTTTGTCTTCAAATCTAAGCATTTTTTTATAGGAAACAGTAACTTTCATTTAAGAGAGATTAAAAGGTACATCTGTCACCACCCAAATGGTGGCTAGGCAAACCAATTACAATAAAAACAAAACTACAAACAGGCCCAGAACAAAGTCTCCCTATTTACTCTTAGCTTAGCTAAAGTATCAGCCATTCAATTTGCTGATCTTCTTGCCCACTTGAACTGCACCCTTAAATCCCTTGCTAAAATCAAAATTTCCCTTATCAGTTGCCTGAAGTACCATGTGCCCAGATTTCCTGCTTGCAGCCATCCTAATACAAGTTTGGAGTCACCTTCCACTTCTAACTGTTGCATTTCCCATTGTTTTACCAATCTGAGACCCTGAAGTAGGGCCTTTATTTCTGCCCCTAAAGAGTCTCCTACCCCTATTGGACCCGAGTAGAGGGCCAGCGCTCTTTCTTCCTCATCTCTGAAGACTCCTCCAAATATCTAAACATTTCTTTCAGTCCATGTGGCCCAAAAACAACAAGAGGAGTATAACTGAAAATCCTCTTGCTTCTGTAGAAGCACTTAATCCACCGCTCTCTCCCCTTTAAACATTTATTCCTAAGCAGCAAGGTAGAGGATTATCTATGTCTGACTTTCCTAATCTGTTAGTCACTTGATTAGCTTACTCAAACTCAATTATGTTGCACTTCATGCTATCTAGCTGTTCTTTGCAGACTAAATTTTTTGGAAGCTCTGCCTGGGGATCTCATTTGGTTGTAAATTCTACTTGATTTAGTTTTATTTGCCATTTCACCCTAAACAATATTTGTGTACATCTCTGCATGCACATGCCTATTGTACATATAGAATATAGATATAGACTTAAATAGTTAGAGATGCAGTGTCATGTGTAAACCATTGCAAAATGACCTATCTATGAGAAGTGTCTGAATTCCTCTGTGGTAAACAGTCAATATGCCACTGTGACAGTTACACAAACAATCACAACCTCAATGGGCTGTCTCTTGTTGGAGAAGATCATCCTTTTCTCTCCCCATGGTTGGTAAAAAGTCCTCCATGATCATGATGGCTTGTATGAACAAGCAATATTACTTCTAGGTTCCATTTAGTTGCACATAAAATGAAAGATAATGGATGATTTCCTGAAAATTTCTATTTTATGGTTTTGGTTACACATAAAATGGAAGTGGAAAACTTTCTCCAAAAAAAGTAAGCACTAACTGTAGCAAAATAACATTCCTTCTAATTATCTGTAAGCCATTTTCCAGACAGAATGATTTTCTTGACTCATACAACATTCGTATAATTCTCAACTGTTCAAGTTTGTTTTCTAAATTAAGTGAAACACCAGGAAAATTAGGATCAGGAAGATGATTTCTTTTCTTATTGAGTATCATTTTCCAAGGAAATCATTTGTTTTCCTTCATTTTACATGAAACCCAATGCAGCCCGTGTATTTTGTTCCACTGTTGGTTTTTATGACATTATGCTCCAATTATTACTTCATCCGTGCCACCTTGCAGGTATGCTTCCACCTTTTGTAACAGAGTCAGAAGAAATCAGAGCAATGGCAAGGCACTGTACTACAGGAATTGAACTAAGGATTTCTGCTGAACGGCTTATACTTCTTGATACCCAGGTTTCCTCTTGATATCTTCACCTCCCTTCCCTTTAATATTGTTGAATTCAGTTTCTGTGGCATTGTGCCAATAAAGGACTTTCTGATAGCACTAATGCATCTGTTTAATTATGGTTCATATGTTTCATTTAATCTGCTAATTTGTGACAGAAGTTTCTGTAATATATCTGCTACTGGATATGTTGGTCCTGTAATGCTCTGATAACTATAATACACTAGTAGGTTCCATGTTTGGTAACAAACAACATTTTCTTTTAGTGTTGTCATTGACTTAACATTCAAAGTTAATGTTTTTCTTTCTTGAGGCAGATTTCAAACATTGGCAGAAAATTTTACCACATGACTGATTCCTTTTATCACATATGTGATGCAGAAAAGAATCAAGTGTCATACAGCTAGTTCGTGCAAGAAAAAAGAAGACTATTCTGGGGTGCCGAAAGTGAATCAATCAACCCCCCAAGAGCCAGCAAATATATATTTAAAACATTAGATATTTACAGAGAGGTCCTTAGAAGACTAAAGAGAAAAATAGCTATTTACATAAAATCCCTCACAGGACTAAATAAGAAAATAACAAAAGGGAAAATACAATACACAGGAACTACAAAGAATTATACATCAAAGGGACTCTTCACACTCCCCCTTAAATTGATGCAAAGGGATTAGCATCAGTTTGCTACAAGGAATAAATGTCTGGATCTCGTCATTGCCTTCGTGAAGATATTAACAACTTGCACATCAGAGACAACATGAGGAAGGGAGATAGAGCTAGGAAGATACAAGTCTTTGATAAAGTGACAATCCACCTCAATGTGCTTCGTCTTTTCATGAAAGACAGGGTTAGAAGCAATCTTTATAGCACTAGTGTTATCTGCATATAGAGGGATAGGAGTAGAGAAGAAGTGACCCAGGGCCCTAAATAGAGATTGAAGCCAAACAATTTCACTGCATGCAGATGACATTGCCCTGTACTCTGCTTCCGTAGATGACTTAGAGACAGTTTGTTGTTTCTTGCATTTCCATGAGATAAGAGAATCACCCATGAAGACACACCACCCAGTAGTGGAACGGTGTGTGTCGGGGCAGCCTGCCCAATATGTATCAACATAGGCCCTCAATTGGATAGGAGAGGACGAAGAAAAGAATATGCCCTATGATAAAGTGCCCCAAACATAGTGAGTAATCTGATGCACATCAGTCGAATGGGGTTGATGGGGAGTAGAGACAAATTGGCTTACAACCTGAACCGCATGTGAGATGTCAGGATGAGTCATAGTGAGATAGATAACAAGTTGTCGATATAGGGAGGCATCAAGAAGTAAGGGACCTTCTGACTTAGACAATTTTACATTCAGCTCCAAGGGAGTATCAACTTGTTTGTCATCAATATGACCGACCAACTTAACAAGATCGTAGGCAACATTATGTTGGTAAATGAAATATCCCCGATGACTTCTTTGAACTTCAAGTCCTAAGAAATAGGTGAGAGGACCCAAATCCTTCATGTGAAAGGAACTGTGAAGGACAGATTTGAGCTCCTGAACTCCCTCTATATCATCTCCTATCAACATGTCATCCACATACAATAGAAGAATCGTAATACCCTGGGATCTTTTCCGAACAAAGAGAGAGTAATCAGAGGCACATTGGCTATACCCAGCTTTCACAACAATATCTCGAAAATTTTCAAACCATGCTCGAGGAGCTTGCTTCAACCCATAGAGAGATTTCTTTAACCAACAAATGAGGGAAGGATCACTAAGTACCTTGGAGTGGGTTTCATATATACTATTTCCTTGAGATGCCCATGTAGAAAAGCATTTTTCACATCCAATTGATAGATAGTCCAAGAGCGTGCTATAGAAAGGGCTAGAAGAACACAAATCGTAGTGATCTTGGCCACGAGAGCAAATGTCTCCTCATAGTCAATGCCATACTCCTATGTATAGCCATGAGCCACAAGTTAGGCTTTGTATCGGCTTAGAGAGCCATCAGATTTCAACTTGATGGAGTAGACCCACTTGCTCCCAATAATAGAGCCATCAGAAGGAGTTGTCCCAACTCCCAAGTGTCATTCTCATGCAAAGCTTGAATTTCTGCATCCATGGCAGAAACAGGAGTGGTCTAGAGATAACTGGGAATATCTGTAGAAGACAAAACAACAAAAAAGGAACTATGGTTTGAAGGAAAACCATACCGATCAGGTGGTCTAGAGATGCGAGAACAACGATGCAAAGGAATAGAAGGAACAACAGAGGGATCTGAAACAGGAGTGTCACTTACAAAGTTGTTTAGGACAGGTAAAGGAGTTGGACCGGGAGGAAGGGGGGTCATAGGCGGTGGCGTTGGACCATGAACTCGCTTGTGAGAGAAGACGAGAATGGGAAGATCCTTCATAGCAGTTAAAGATGGAGCATCCTGTGAATCAAAGTCATACAAAACAAAAACAGAAGGTGCAGATAACTTGGCTACTCTTGAAAAGAAAGAGATGTGTTCAAGAAAAACCACATTCCTAGAAATTCGAATACGACGTGCAGAGGGATCATAGCAAAGGAATCCCTTGTGGTTAGGATTATTACCCACAAAAGCACATATAACAAATTGGGCTGAAAGCTTAGAACGTTCACGGGAGGGAAGGTRCACAAAACATAGGCATAAAAAAACATGAAGACAGGAAAGATCTGGAGGGCAACCAAACATTTCTGATGAGGAGACATGTTAGTAAGAACAGATGAGGGAATACAATTAATTAGATGCACAACAACACTAGCAGCCTCCACACCCCAAATGATGGAGGTGCATGTGACTCTTGCAAAAGAGTTCTCACAACACTGAGAACATGGCCATTTTTTTGTTCTGCCACACCATTTGCTGAGATTGTTAGGACAGTACCTTTGAACTTTTATGCCATGATGTTTCAAATAAACCAGAAATTCTCCATCATTGTATTCTCCCCGTGAGTTAGAACATAAGATCCTTACACTTGACCGAAACCAAACTCGAACCATAGCATGAAACAACCGAAAGGTAGGAAAGACTTTTGACTTGTGTTTGAGAAAATATATCCAAGTGTACCTAGTACAATCATCAATGAACAATACAAATTTTGTATCCCAAATATGAAACAACAGATGAAGTCCATACATCACTATGTATAATTTCAAAAGGTGAAGTAGCATGTTCAGATCTATGWGAAAATGGAAAAATATGATTCTTACTCAAACAACAAGTAACACAAGAAGTATCAAAAGTTTTCATAGAGGGAATTTTAGTTCTAATGAAGCCAGAATCAAACAAAAGCTTAAGTTTTTTAGAGTTTGGGTGACTCAAACATTTATGCCATAAATCCCATACATTATTTCTTTGACACAAAACAGGAGTCAATGAAGAAGTGCTCAAGTAAGCAGAGGATGATGTTGATTGAGATTTCTCGAACTCCAATGCAAACAAGCGGCCCAACCTACGCCCCTTCCCTTTCACCTTCCCAGTGCACTGGTCTTGAATCAAAAAACCATCAAAAGAAAAAGTTAGAATGTTATCTTCAACCAATTAACCAACTGAAATAAGGTTAGCAGTAAGTTTAGGAACAAAGAAGGTCCTGGTAAGGGAAAGTGAGTTTGAGGCTGAGAGTTTGAGACACAAATCATTACTCYCAATGATATCCCGTTTCTCACCATTGGCGGTAACAATTTGTTTATGATGGGTCTCAGAAAAAATCGTTTGATGGTTCAGGGTGGTCTCTAGTCATATGATTCGTTGCACCAGAATCAATTATCCAAACATGAGAGGGAGATGAACAGTAACCATAAAACTCACCAGGCAAGCCAATAGCAGAAAAAGGCAGATGAGATAGCAAAGGATACCAGTTGCTGTATTTCTTCCTTATTCATGGAAGCAGAAGATTCACCTTTGATAGTAGAGGCATCGGTTGTTTGACCTTCAAACATTTGATAAGTTCGTGGTTGATTCTTCTTCACAATACCCTTAGAGGGACGAACTGGGCAGTCTGGAATGATATGACCATGCTGCTTGCAGTAAATGCATGCGTTCTTTTTCTTGCAATATGAGGTTATATGTCTAAACCCCTTACATTCATAACACTGGGTCTTAGAAAGATCCTTTCCACCAGATTTCTTACTTCCATGTGCAATGAAAGCAGTTTCAGCACCTGAATCATGATGCCTCTCCTCTATGTTTGCAGCCATCATTAGTCTAGTTTCTTCCCTCAAAAACTCTCCAATCACAGAGTCTAAATCCGGAAGGCTACCTCTACTTAAGATATTATACTTGATTATTTCATATTCAGGTCTCAATCTCATCAGGAACTGGTTCACCTTTCTGTTCTCAAAATGCTTCTGTAGATACTTAACACACTCTGGGGGATCAGAGGGATCAGTGTTTACCAGTTCATATTCTGCCCATAAATCAATGAAGCTTGCATAGTACTCTTGTATCTTCCTATCCCCCTAACAATAGGCAAAGATCTTATACTCAATCTGATATTGTCTTGACATGTTGGAGTGATGATAAACCTTCTCCAAGTACGAATACATCTCATAGGCTGTTCGCAGTCTTCTCATGGGAATAGAAATATGAGGAACAATGGAACTCAGAATCCAGGAGACAAATTTCCCATTATCAAGTTTCCATTGTATAAATGCCTTAGTGTCTTTTTCATCAGGTTTACTATCAGTTCCATTCAAATAACCTTCAAGACCCTTTCCTTCAACAAAGAAGTCAAAATGGAACTTCCACATACTGTAGTTGGTTCCATCAAACTTCACTGGAATTACTTCCACCTTCTCAGCCATTTCRGTCCAAGAAAATGGAGGGTCCAGAGAAACAAATAACAGTACTGATATTAAACTCCCAAGTTTGTAAAGCACTACACTTGATTCCAGAAATGATGCAAATGCTGAAACCAATATCCCAGCATCCAAACAAGTGATTTTCTTTGGAAGAAAAAAACTTTCAGCAGCAAGGCAACAGCAAGCAATACAGAGAAACAACAGAAAACCAATTCAGAGGATATGTAAAATCACCCAACTTCAATAGTACAGTCCACAGAAATATTTGTTCCTATAGAGGAATCGAAATCCTCTAAAGAAAAAGCCAGAACAGATTTCTAGTGTTGACAGTTCAACTCAATAGTGTTTCAGGACTGTCAGACTGAGGAGAGGGATGGAATCACCCCAGAACTGATTTAGCACTTCAAAAGAAAAAACAGTTAAGAAGTGGGAAAGCCCTAGGGCGACAACAATCTGGGGTCCAAGAAAAACAGATGGGATTCACCAACCTGATGTGTGCAGTTTTCAGAAACTGCYACCCTAGAGAGGAGAACAGAACTCCCCAAATACAAGTCCTCTTTCACTGAAACTTTCTGAGTGGGTAGACTTGATCTGGGCGACACAGCCAGTAAAGTTTCCCTCCAATCAGCAGCTTTTCCAGAGAGTTCTGGTGTGTCTTCTCTTGCTGAAATCACAGAACAGGGTAACCCAGGTTTAGGGTTGATCAAAGCAACCCTAGCTTCAATTGATAAGTCCAGAGACCAGCATGCTCTGATACCATGTCATACAGCTAGTTTGTGCAAGAGAAAGGAAGACTATTCTGGGGTGCCAAAACTGAATCAATCGACCCCCCAAGAGCCAGCTAAATGGTATTCAAAAATCCGAGTTCGGATTCGTGATTCAACATAATCAAATCGAATTYGGATTATTCGAATGCTGTTACCAGTTGAATTCGAATAAGACATCTTTGCCGATTAATTTATCGAATCGAATTTGAATAACACTTGATTTGATTCGATAAATATTCGATTTGATTATAATAATTGTAACTATATAAATTATACTTATAATAAATGATGACTGTAATTATATTTATATTAAGTAAACATATTATTTTATTATTTTGTAAAGTACAATGAATGGTGGCTTTTGAAAGTTTCTTTTTAATATTATTTTAAAACAGGAGAGTTGAATGAAGACAAGCTATTGCAGAGGCTATGATGATTTTTCGAATAATAGGCATGTCTCATTAATTATCTCTCATTTTTTAGTATTATTTTAATACCTTTTATTGCTGATTTCTCGAATAAGATGCATATCTCATTAATAATCTCCCACATTGTTAGTATTATTTTAATACTTTTTATGATGATTTCTCGAATAAGAGGCATGCCGCATTAATTATCTCCCACTTTTTAAATATTATTTTAATACTTTTTTATCAAAAGGCGCTTGTCTCATTTATTATCTCCCACTATTTGCATTTGAATCATTTCAGCTTTACTATTCACTTTCTTCTTCTCCGATTCAAGCCTGTATTTCTTCTCAGTTCTTCGGTTCATGGTTGCATTTCTTCTCTGCCTTTTTTTGTTTGTTACAGGCTTACAGCTTTACAAGTTTAAATCTTTTTTATTCTTTATTTTTGAATTGCATTCTCTCTCTCTCTCTATGCATGTTGTAGAGCTAAATATGGAGATTGACAATCTCTCCATTGCAGAACACACGAATAGTGATCTCTCTATGCCTATTGCAGAACACGCCAGCAAAGCAATACCAAATAGATGGTTATTATTCAAAAACTTTTTTTTTATTTGTATTTTCCTTTTGTTTCTTGGAGGTTGGATCAATAGAGAATGAGAAAAAAACTTCGAACAGGATTTCTTCTTCCTCGTCTGGTGAAGTTGGAGAGATTGGCATTAAAAAAAATCCGAATTCKAATCGAAATCAAATATTTGATTATTTAAACGAATTTGAATTTGATTTAGTGTTTTCAAAAACCATCAGATATCAAATCGAATTCGAATGTTTATTTTTTTTAATCGATTTTGAATTCRAATCAAGCCTGATTCTATTCGAACAGAGAGGTCCTTGGAGGACTAAAGAGAAAAATAAATATTTATATAAAAGCCCTCACATGACTAAATAAGAAAATAACAAAAGGGAAAATGCAATACAACAGGAACTACAGAGAATTATACATCAAAGGGACTCTTCACATCAAGAGACTATATAATAATTATCTAGTATTGTTTTTCAATGATGTTATTATATTTTAAAATAAAAAGGTAATCATAAAAGCCATGTTGAGGAGGAAAAGCGAAAGAAACTAAAAAATGAAAAAATAACAAAGAACCAAATCATGGATTATCTAATATTAATCTGTTGATCAAAGCTATGCAGCTCAACAGGTGAATATGGATCAACAAATATACAYGAGTGTTGTTATTGACTTCTGGTACTTATACTTAAAGAGTGAAATAACCTAAGCAAATAGCCATGAGGAAGATCTCTGCTTTTGATTAAATATGTGCTTGGTTAATTACTGTTTTGGAATTGTATGCTGTTACAGTTCACTGATGTCTGTTTCTCCCTTTTTTGATAAGTGTTCCTTGTCAACTTTCACTATTGAGTACTTGCAAAATATTATCTAGTTGAAATTGTTATGTCAGACTAGCTTAGATGGGAGGATTCAAATCACTTTATGTGTCTACAGTGGCTCAATAGGGGAAAATGGATGCACCCAACAGTTTAGTCATGGCATTGCTAACAAGCTTATGAGTGTCTAATAATTTTCATCTGGATCCTTGCTAATYGAAGTGAAGTCAGCTAACATTATTAGATGGAAAAGAGGACCATGGATGCTTTTCACTATATGCTAATGAAATAAAGTATTTAGTGCCAATCATATTTGTTCAGATTAGATGGATATCAAGAGAGTTGGTCACAGGCATAGAATACCATCTACAACAGCACTTGTAAGAAGAAGTGATCTGTTGCAAGTTGCAGGGGCTAGAAGGGCTAGGAGCAGATCCAAAAGGGCATGGGTTGAAGTAGTAGGAAATGRTTTAAGTATTCATAATTTAACAATGGATATGTCACTGAACAGAACAGAATGGCAAAACAGGATTCATGTAGCCGGCCTGAAAAATAGTTGGGGAAAGGCTTAGATGAGGAGGACAGCGATGATGATGATGATGATGATGAGATGGATATCAAGAGAATTCGATTCCTTGCAGATTAAATAGTGAATTTTGGGTCAGGATGTTTCATGTAGGTAAATATCAATAGTCGACTTTGATGATGCTGGCCCCATCATTTTGTTAACAAAAAAAAAGAATCTAGATGATGATATATTTTTTTTTTTATTTTAACAAATAACATGAAATTCTATTATATAATATATACCATACACAAAAAAGGTCTCACTCAGCCTCTCAGGTAAGAATCRTCTACCATGTGTATGTAATTCAATTGAATGTTTTTTAAGGTAACCTGAATCTGGAAGTTTTATATATTTTGACATGGGTTTTCTAATAGTTACCCTGCACCACCTTTATGCATAGTGCTTAATGCATCAAAGATTCAAGGTGCAGTATTCATTTTGGTTCTTCCAATCCCACGCTTTCCAGATGCATGTTATTTCCCTCCAACATGTAGCTCTGGCCACATCACTATCACCCTGGAGGTTATAACACTTCTGGCCATGACAATGTTTCTCCCTATTGATCATTGACTTATTAGGCTGATAAAGGAGCACTTTAATGATTTGATCACTCCAACTTGAGTGCCCCTGAGTTCCTAAAGTTGAATAACTTCTTCCTCTTGTTTCGTAATAACTAGAAATTCTYTGACATTTGTTTTCCACCTGCATGCATATATGTCTTGAAACCATTTTTTAGAACTTTGTTCTGCTTTCCTTTCTTCCCATCATATAATTGTTCAGTTTTTATGGTTTTTGGTGTATTTCAAAAAAATAAAAGTAAAGATGCTGGTGTTGACTTGCACAAATCATTGTTTTCATTAACAACAGTATTCTTCATCATGCAGCCCATTTTCAGTCCTTCTGTTTTAGCTGAAATGACAAGGCCTGATGGTTCATCCACAATTTCTGTAGTAAGTGGCGAGGTCCTGTCAGCTGACCTAGCTCATGAAATCATGAGTATTCAGGTAACTGCAAAAATGGAGAAGAATCTTCTGATTCAACCTGCTAAATATAAGAACACATCCTACATAGTAGGCACATTGATATTTCATGAATTCAGCTAACACATCTGATGGAACTACCCTATTTTGGATTTCTGCAAGGAATCATTCTAGCTTGGTGTTTTTCTCACATCAATTTGTCATGTTCTGCTGGTGATATCAGAGGGAGTTCATGATATTAATATGTGGCATCTGATGTTGACGGTATACATCCCTTCTTGATGATTACTTATGTGCTACAAGTTCATCAAAGCAAACATATTCAGATATTCTGATGTTGCTACTTTGTGGCATGTCAAGGATTATTATTTTATTGATAAAGTTTGGACATGAAGCAAAATAGATTTCATACAATCTACAATCTTAAACCGGAAAAGCAATGCACCCAAAAAAAATCTCAAATGAGTTATCGGATTTTCTATTTATTTACGTATAGCATGCCTCATTTGAGTTGTTTTATTCAAGTTTGGATAAAAAATTAAAAATGTTTTCTGCAATATGAGAAATTATTTTGATTATCCAGAGTGTCAGTTTAACATGAACAAGTTGACTCATGCCCATTTATGTGCCTTTGAAGGTTGACTTGTTGAAACATGGAATACCAGATCCGTCTTCCTTGGCATCTTCGTACTCCCAGGGCTCCAATCTGGGCCCTGAAAAGGAAAACAAAGAGACCTGGCAGGAGGCTGGTGAAGAGTATTTGGCCTTTCCTGTTTTTGTACATACAAAGTGAGTATGATGAATCTGCATGGATATCAAAACCACATTATATACATAAACTTTAGAAATGCAAATTTTATATTGATCAAATAATTCATAACCTTCAGTCATATAGAAGTGTCGTTTTCTTTAGACTTAATATATAGTTTTCCCTGTCTCCACTCAGAATTGACTGAAGGGGTGATCAACTCCCGAAGTAATCAAGTTTGAGAAATTGAAGAGCAAGTCATCCATGTCAACTGACAATTGATATTTCCTTTGTGTACAGAGTGCAAGATCAACACCTTTCTCCTCCTAATATTGTGCGGTTGAGGAAGGCACTCTCACGATATTTTAATCAATCATCATTCATGGGAACGAAATATGGATACCAGAACAACAAGCAAGCTCATTCTTTTGGGTGTCCTGATATGATTGATGACTCGGGTTCTACCGGGATGGATTTAATTCTGATCCCATCAAAGTTTCAAGATGAACATCAGAGATCTCAATATGAAAGTTATACTTCCATGTTGGGGAAACTCCGTGACCAGGTATCCCTCTTTGTCACTTGCCAAGTTGAGGTTATTGCATGATGTTCTAGAAAACTGTGTCTACATCAATGAAGGATATGGCAGATAAAGAATTTCTCTTTCACCTTCAGGTGTTGTCCATGAAATGTCAGCCCTTTGCAAAGAATGTCTCTGAACGTGAGTGGTTAAGGAACTCTTCTAAGATATGGGAAATAGTGAAGAATTCGCAAGTCATTGCTGAGTATACTAGAACACTTCAGAATTCAGGGATGTTTAGGAGGTAGTCCCTATCTACTAATGCCAAAGGAAATTAAAACTGGTCATTCATTGACATGGAAAACAGAACTTTCATTTTAGCATTGCTTTATGGGGTTGGAAACTTGACAGTAAAAGTGATTATTAGAATAATATTACTTTTGTTGATCTAGCTTAAGTGTGGGTACCTTTTCAGGCCAGGTATTTTGGTTGGATTAGAATCTGGGTTTGAGTGAATAAGATTAGAAGCCCATCATTTGTTAGACAGATGGRCATTTTGCCCTATGTATATTGGTAGATGAACATATTCCATTGGACATGGTATGTGGCTCTTTGGAGCTTCTACCCTTTTCCTTCCACCATCCCAGTCRGATCTTGAAGATCCATGGTTTCTTCGACAGTGCAACTAAAATAAATTGTCAGGACAGTTACAAATGCAATGTACTTGGTTTTAGTAGGTTTCCATAGAGGTTTCATTGTTTTCTCGTCCTTGGATATTGGATTCATCTCTTTCCAGGTTCTAATGAATACTCCCTCATTGTCTGCTAACCATTGTTTTCAAAACAAATTGAAAGTTTGCTCTGTATAATGAGAAACTGGGCCTTGGTTTTCAATACAGTTTGCGCTGTATAATGCAATTATTTTTATTCCTTGGATTTTTTTTTCATTTCGGTGGTTGTGCAAAGTCTTAGATCACACTGCTCTATGAGATGATGTCCAATGAAAAGGGCTCGCAGAAAGTGAGGAGCTGCAAACAGATCAGATCAAATTCGGACAGGGGTATTTATGAATCTGATCTGAGATGCCAATGGATATGTCAAACATATATTCGAATTCAATTCATTTACATATATGATATATCCAATCCAAATCTGATTCTATTGAAGTATCAAGAAATCTATATAAAAATACGATAAATTTATAACATTAACCAAAGCAAAAAATGTATACTATAAATAAAAAATAATTTATCTAAATCCCAAATCCTAYTTAACTCTAAAGAATTTTAATACTAAAAAGTGATGTATGTATATCATCATATCCCAACGGATGGGATGTAGTAATATCTGAATTTCATCCAATTAATAAATGGATCAGATTTTCAAATTCAATTCAATCCGGGTATATTGAATCAGATCCGACCCATTGACAGCTCTAACCTCGACACATTAAGGACACCAACACCCTAAGTCCCAATTTTGAGGAAAATCAGAAGTTAATGTGTTCTTGTGTTGCAAAAGTTAAAAAGAAGMCATGAAGAGTCAAAACCAGGTGGCAAATTTTGATCCAACTTGGACAAGTTGGGATCTTTACAATGAGGCAACCGATGGAAAATGTTGATCAGTTAATGTACCTARCTTTCTACATCAAAGATAGGACAAATGTTTCCTGTTCTTTTTCCATAAACAAACATAGTTCATTAATCAAAGAAAAGAGCTACAAAGTTAGAACAAGTGACACGAATCAGAATTTACTCCTCACAAAGCGCACCTCAAACACAAATAATGTGCGACTGGGACATGTTGTGAGGTTGGTGTGAGGAGCAAATCCAGATCCGGACTCAGGTGACAYGCTGAATTAGTTATGTTTATCCAGTTATCCCCCATAGTACATATCGGCTATTGGAGATTTCTTTGGTTGATCTTTAGTCGGAAAAAAAACAGTTTATGCCGTCCACAGGGTTTTCTGGGTCTAATATGTTAATTTTTATTAAGGGGCTGTTTGGAAAGTCTTTCCAGATAGATCTTTCAACAGTTGAGTAGACAAAAAGACACTGAACTTTTGGGGTCTTGTTTTTAAAGATCAAGACTGTTTATTTTGCATTATGGTCTATCGGACTGTTAACAACAGTTAGAATGGATATTTTCAGTGTGAAAAAACCAAAAGCTTCATATGAAGCTTCCTAATTTTTGGCCTTTTCAATTTTTTCCCACACTCGTGTTTTTTGCATTTTTCGATCTATACAGTGGCAGAGACAGGAATTTTCTTTTTTAAGGGGGTGGAATTAAACAAGAACATGGGGCGGAAAGGTTGGCGTCTATTACCGATTTTTTCAAAAAAAAAAAAAAAAAACAAAAACAGATATCATATCATGTTATTTATAAAAAAAAAAAAAAAAAAAAAAACATTTTTTAAGAGTTTGGGGGTGGGGGAGGGCGAGGACCCCACCAATATACTTGACTCCGCCCTGGGTCTACGTGATGTCAAACGGAAAATGACCAATTTTGTCTTTTGAGCTTCCTGCAGACCGAAAGATGCACCGAAAAGATAACAGTTCTGGAGGTATGGCTGTATGAACTAACGTGTCACGTGGATAAAGCATGTGGAGAGACAGATTAYGGAACATGGACAGCCAAATGTTTTTCATTGTAGTTGTCTATACTCTATACTTTAATAAAATTTATACATAAAATAGAAACAATCTTGAAAATGTAGGGAGATACTGTGAACAACATTTTTTCCCATGAATACGGGTTGGGGAGAGGGGTACAGAGACTCCCATTGATCTCCAATTTAATTAGCCATTTGGAAGATCAATGGGTCGTTTCTAAATGAATCTGGATTAGGTGCACATGATAGCTGAACTATTGGTGTTTAACCCAAGGTTTTAAATATTGATATTGTCRGCATATCGGATAGTATCGGTATTGTTTTTTTAACTTTTTTTCAAATTCGATTCATGGGGCTGATTTAAGATTCCTCCACCTCCTGAACCAGTAAAAACCCTGATACACCCTATGTAAGGGCATACTGGGGTGCTCCCGATACGATATGTATTAGACAATACATGGCCAATAGGTAACAATTATTTAAACCTTGGTTTAACCAATAATAATACCCCACGTCAGCCATGCAAGCGAAATGAGATATTCAACTGGCAATGGCACCTTTAGCTGTAAATGCTGCACATTGCCACAAATCTTTGGTTTTATAAACAAATGTAGTGCAACCTCATGCTGCAGCTCAATAAAAAGGAAAATGCATTTCACATTACCACCACCAAAGATGTGTTTACATTTGATTTTTATCTATTCTTCATTAGTTATCTTTAGGGGTTTCGATATTGAGGTCTTTTTTCATAAAGAAGAGGACCACACTGGGCCATAACAATGATAGAGAGAGAGAGAATCAATCCAGATTCCAGACTGTCCATGATGAAGGGGTAGGGGACCCTTAGGACTCCACTTGCTAAGACAACATCTCTGGTCTTTCTTTTCGCCCTAGTTGAAGAATCCACAGTGGAGAGGGCAACACGGGGAACCCATTTGGGCCACCAAGTGGTCCCTGTTATAGTGTTGTTACTCAGCTCTATAGCCCTACAAGAATCATGTATAAGGATTCTTACCCCATCTAATCAACCCCATGAAAAAGTGAGAAAAAAAAAAAAAGCATTCTGATTTGGAATGGCTTAATGCAGGCTGAATCTTCCGAAGATTCAAGTATTCTTAGATTAAGGAATACCAAAAAAAAAAGTATTCTTAGGTTAAGGTTCCATTGGAGGGCCTGGCCTATTAAGACCAGCCCAGTTTGGATAGGACCTCACTTGGCCTAAAACTCAATTAAGTAGGATAGGCGGCTGGCCAAGACTCAAGAGTTCTAATTCCTAATAACGTTGATTGTCCAAATATCTTTGCAATAGATCAGACCTTTCATTTAAGATCATGTGGTCAAGGAGCATTTTGGACAAAGATACCCAAATGTGGGGCCCCTAGAGGACTTAGACGTGCACTGTAGATGCAACAGGTACTTAATGAGCAATTAATTGAGCATCTCCGACCACATTATCTTAACATTCCTTTGGTCCAATGCCAACATGAGAGTGGTCCTCAGACATTTAAACCAAATAGAGAACTAAAAAAACTGCAAGTGGGCAAATGGGCACTTGCAGTATTCAATGGTTGGAAGGGAAGATGAGATGTTTCAACCACCCTAGCTTTGGGTGGCCATGAAAATATTAACTTTTTACTGTCACTCAAACCCTAAAATGGTAACCACCTCTCACATGGCTAACACCTCCAAAGAAAAGAACACATCGGAAGAAAAAAAAGGGTTGTTTACTCTTTACTCAGTGCAACAAATATTATCTCAACTTGGCACAAGTTGGCTGTCTATAAATAATGAGACAGCTTAGGAATTTGGTGTGTAGCATGCAAGATGGCTCTCATGGCTTCCAAGGTGTCTACTGCCTTGCTCATTCTCCTCAACCTTCTCTTCTTCTCTTGTGTGTCATCATTCAGTTTCCTCCTCAGACCATCTCTAATACTCCTCTGTTTCCATCCATCCCCAACAATCCAACCTCTCTGCAAGCTCCCCTGCTGGCTCCATTCATCCCTAATGAGCCTGTGAATTGCCCACGAAACATGCTTAAAATGGGTGTATGTGCCAACCTACTAGGGATGCCAATAGTCATTGGTACTCCTCCTAAGGGTCCATGTTGTGCTTTCTTGGGTGGTCTTGCTAATTTTGAAGTTGCAATGTGTCTGTGTACAGCTCTCAAGGCCAATATCTTGGGCATCAACCTTAATATCCCCCAAGCTCTCAGTTTGATAGTGAATGCATGTGGAAAGAAGGTCCCAGATGGATTTCAGTGTGCCTAGATACTACTATTTCTGTTATTTATTTCTCTACTTCTCTTTGCCAATCTGTGGTGTAATCTTCAGTTCTTTGGTTTCCAAGTTTCTTAGTAGTTKGTACTTGGTAGTTTTGTTCATGTATGTATTGACCTCTTGGTTTAAGTATGGATACCAAGTGTTTGTTTCTTGTTTAAGTATTCTTATGGTACCTGACTGATAAACAATCAGCTTGTAATGATTCAAATTCATGTGGGTTGTTAAAGTTTTTCTTCAGGTACCATACCTTAGAAATTTCCACAAATGAAATACAATTGACTGTTCTTGCTCAATAAAAGAGAAACTAAGTGCATCAGTTTCACATAGGGGTGAGCAAAGAAAATCAAAAAATCGAACCGACCAAAATTGAACCAAAAATTGGTTAATCGAACTAATCAGTTCGGTGTTTTTAAAAAACCAAAGGTATCGGTCGGTTCAGTTTCGGTTAACCAATATAGAAAACTGATGGTTAACCAAACCGATCAGTATACATATATTTATATATATATATATATATATATATTTAATATATTATAAATTAATAAATATGCATTATATATATATATATATTTATAATATATGATATATTATTTATGATTTGAAATATAATATTTTTTATAAAAATTAAAAAACCGAAAAACCAACAAATCGAATCGATAATTAACCGGACTGGTCAACTGGTTAACCAATTGATTTCGGTTACTGATTTTTCAAAAACCAATAATACCGGTTCAATTAAAAAACAAAACCCACGGTTCAGTTAACCCTATTTTCACATGGTATGGCCGATGATCTAGTACATAGCTGAGATGGTCACTTGGCATCCTCTTAAATAGGAGGAGCAGATCAAACCTGGCTCTCCGTGGTGGTACGGTCACAGTGGACCGTACGTGCACCTTGCTCTATCCCCACCCCTTAATCCCCCGTGTGTATAAAGTAATACCCAAAAAAGAAGGTTTCATATGGTCTCTTCCTTCTATTAAGTGTACCAAAGAAGGGTATCATGTAAACCTTCATGCTAACAACCTAGATTAAGAGAAGACATTTTAAGCATCAGCTTCCTCTAAAGTGGAAAAGACAAATTGCTACATTAACAGACCTGGCAACTGGGTTGGGTCAGATGCTTCTGGTTGATTTTGGGTCGGGTTGGATCGGTAAATGTTAGACTCTAATCCTAATTGTTCAAGTTAGGATTGACCCACGTGTCAATTCAGGTCATCCCTAAAAATAATTGGGGATTTAAAAAAWTATAAAGAAAAATACAGAAAAATTGTCAAAATTAAATAATATAACCTTAAAATTCTAAAAATAAAATAAAATAACTGGGAAAATTCAACAATTCAAAGAGTAAACAATAAAGTATAAGTAGGGGTGTCGATTAGACTGGACTTGGTCCAGTTTGATCCAGTCTAATGTGAGTCCATTACAAATGGATCAGGTCCAATCCAATCCAATGAATAATTTGGACTATTTTGGATCAGTCCAATTCAATATTTGGACCATCCAATTTGTTCAAATTCATTTTAATTTAGATTGGTCTCAACCCAAACCCGGTCCATTGACACCTATATTCTTATCTTATATCAATGGACCGGATATTGGCTTAATCCAACCAAATCCAATATAAATTTATTACAGATGGACCAGGTCCAGTCCAATCTAATAAATATTTTGGACTGGATTGGTCCAATCCACTGCCTTTTTGGTATGTCCAATCCGTCCAATTTGATTTTGGACTGGACAGGGTCCAATYCATTCACACCCTTAAGTGTAAAGACTAAATAGTAAAGATTAAAGAGTGGAAACTTCTAACAATACATAAATGGTCCCAATTAAACCTGACAATTGAATCGGCAGGTTAATCCATGACCCAACCCAACCAACCCAGGATAAAACTTGAGTAATGGCAATAGCAAGCACTATGGTAAGGCCAGTGGATCTCATGTGCACAGTGCACCCTATTCTATTCACACCCTTAAGTAGGGGTGTCCACGGTTCGATTAACCGAACCATGGCCCTTTTTTGTAAACCGAATCGGTGGTACTGGTTTTTCCATTTTGCCAAACTGAAACAAAACCGGTACCACCGGTTAACTAGTCCGCCGGTTTCGGTTTTTATATTTATAATATATATTATATAAATATATGTATAATATTATATTATAAATAATAATTATATATAATATATTATAAATATTTTAAAAATATATAATATATATAATATATTTATATATATTCATTATATATATAAAGTTTATATATAATACATAGAAAATATGTGACATATATTAAAAATGTATATATAATATACATATAAATATATATACCGGTCGGTTCATTAATACTCTGGTTTAACGAAACTTAGGCTGCACAGACTTGAACCAAAATGATGGGGGGCCAACAGAGCTTTTCCAAGAAGCCTTAACATGAAGAGTTGGGCCTGATCCTACATCAGGTTGGGCTTGGGTTGCCCATCGAAAACCCCATGTTCATATACCCAACATTGCTTGAAAAAAAGGGTGGTCTTGATATTGGAGGTATTTCAATCTCAGTCTCCACTATAAAGTGGGTTTAGAGTTCATGTGAAGTGAGGAAAAAGGGTGGTCTTGATATTCTTCCACCTTGGAGAAATGAAAGTTTGGATGGACATCACTAAAGGAAAACTACAATACAAAGCAGGGTGTAGAGCTGACGTGGATTGAAGAGGAACGCATGATCAATCCTAGGGCTGAAATTCGGGTTGGTCCAAGTTAACATTTTTCACTGTTTTGGGATCGGGATTTGGGTCAGGCCCACTCAAATTTTGACAAAAGCCCAACATGAGCCCGACCAAGTTGCACCCCTAACCAATCTAGAAGAACCCTATGAAAGGAGTAGTTCTGATTGGCCACATGATTCTTCCATGTTGCAGAAATAGGTGGGTCATCTACCAAGCTTCTCTACGTCTACAGAGGTAAATAGGTGGGTAGGGTGCAACTTGGGTTAGGTTTGGTTGAAGATTTGCTAAAGTTTGAGTGGGCCCGGGCCTGAATCTTAGCATAATGTAGTTGAAACTCTTAAAATTGAATAACCCAATTTGACTTCTTTATAGTTGAGGTAGTCAATCAACCTGCCCAAATTATTTGCTAAAGCCAGTCTGAACTGCAATTCAAATACACCATATTCATTCACACTACATCAGAATCCTCTTGAACAAGAAAACAATTGCTAAGCGCTAATTACTTCACAATTTGACCAATCAATTAATCAAATAGTAAGTCCTTACAGAATCTTTCTTGGGATGATTCTTGATGGGATCTCTCAAGCTTCAAGTTTTTAGACTCGAGTCCAGAAGATGATAGAGCTTAAAATTTAAAAAAATAATCAATAGATGGGATTTGTTTCCCATCCAAGTCAACCTCACATTAATCACTGTTAGGCTGAGTTTGGAAGGAGTACAAATGCAAATATGTAGAGTGCAAAACCTTACATTTTGTATTATTTTGTATGTATTTACGCTGTACATATTTGCATTTGTACTMTTTCCAAACTGAGCCTTGGGAGACTCCTTACAGAATCCATTTCTCTATCCATAGCATTGACCCAAAATATTGTGTTCAGAATAAACAAACAAATAATGTCAACGATACTAACATATTATGAAAAAACAGTCAATATCATATTCATAACATACAATAAGGCATAAACAACCTAGAACAAAATAGCATTACAAATAAAAATGTACATTGGTTTAGAGCTTATAAACTGGCTACTCTTTCCAACCAAAAAGAACGATCAAGCATTGGACATCTTCACTATGGAACGGGTAATTTGCTACTGTTATTAAATCCTAGATAAACTACATAAAGGCTGATGCTAAATCCTCTATGAAAGAAATGTAAATATAATAATGGGATTCAAAAATAAAGAAACCATAGATTATAATTTTTCGTGATAAAATAATATTTTCCTTATTTAGATGAAAAATTGGCAAAAGCAAGCAAAGGAAAATTGCTCTACTACTACAGTATTGACTCAGAACTATGCGACCTACAGTTGGCAGGACAATTGAGTAGTGACCAGACCAAACACCTTTACGCACTTGATTGAGCACTCTCAAGTCTCATCTACTTCTATAATGTTAACTCAGCGATTTGATGAACAGTTGGGCAGAAGTGGCCAAACCAAACATCTACTCGCACTTAATTGAGCGATAAATGTGGCGCACAAACAGCAGTGAAGCACGAAAACCAACAGTCCCAAGCATGAGAAAGAACCCATAACAGATGCAGGCCATGTAACCAAAGAAGAAAGATGTCTGCATGAAACCAGACATGTCTGATCTTGCATAGTAGTAGTACAAGCAGTAGCCATAGATGAATACTCCGGTTGAGCCTCCACAAAGAACAGACCTGCATAAATGTATAGAATAGTTAAAACTTAAACCACACAAGACCATAAGCACACAGAAACTATTAATTGCCCCTTTATCTGGTATTTGTAACAGATACTCAATTTTTTTGTGAACTTAAACTTCCATTTAGCCTGTATTCTCTTGTTTTCCCTTTTTTCTTTTTCCAGACAAGCTTATCAAAATTTACTATTGTGCATTTTTATATATGCATGTAAATGAAAATTACCTCCACCACCATTCGTGGTCCTCAACAGCAAGCTGAAAATACGTCAATGCTACAGTGATGAATGCCGTGACAATGATGAGGATGATGAAAACAATGAAGAGGATGCTATATATGGTGTAAATCTTGTGGCCCCATACACTTGCAAAAATGTAGTACAGTTCAATATAGATGGCACTGAATGGCAGGAAACCTGCCATTGCCATCTGAGGGATAGTTCCCCTGTACCATGGCAATGGAGGGATCTCTCTAGGATACTTTGTAGTGCGACATGGAGCCTGGAATTCTGTCTTGTTGTTCTTACCAGCAATACCACCTAATACAAGCAAAGGTGAAGTTACCAATGTCCAAATGAGAAGAATGACCAAGATCGTTCCAAATGGTAAAGCTGCAGTGGCACTATATACAATAGCAACAGTGTTGAGGAAGCAGAATGTCAAGAACAGAGGTCCACAGAACAAGCAACCTGTCAGCAACAAGTTTCTCACCTGGGTGGACGAAAAAGAGAAAAAATAAAGAAACAAGTAAAATAAGAAACACACACAAAGAGAACTAGGCATCTATAAAAAAACAATCACTAAGAAACAAGATCTACCCAGTTAGTTCCTTCTAATTGCAAATAGGTTGATGTGGCAGTGTAGCCTGCAATTCCAGAGGTAAGTGCATATATGACAACCAGAGCTGTGAAAAGAGCTCCCCTGTTGTATGGATAGAACACCCCGACTAGTGAAAGAAGGAAAATGAACAACGCACTGGTGCAACCAGAAAGACAACAATCATTAGGAAATTTTGTATCAGAAAAAAAAAAGTACGTGGACAGTTTCAATGTGCATATATCTTAATTATACAAGAAAATTGTCCCCAATGGATGATGAACATATAATGAGATCAAGGCATAAGTGCATGAATAATCCCAAACATTAATTTAAAGTTTTAAACATCGAATGATTTTATAACATTTGATATTAGATCTGATATTTCAAATTAGACACAAGTATTTTCAACAAGTAATTAAATATATAATTTGAATATCAAATTGTATATATACAACAGGCTTGGTAGTTGGTCAATTAGAGGGATCTTAATGATCTAAGAATCTTGTGCATGGTGACATGCTTGGAGGTCCAAAAAGATCTCACTCGCTCTCTTCAATTTGACAATCCAAAAGCCCTTGCTACATGCCCAAAGAAGCACTTACCCATTGACAATTAAATAGATGGAACTTTGGATGGCAATAACATCCACTGAAAGTTCCAATAGAAGGGGAATTGGCAGGCAAGGGCTGGAGATCACATGGCTAATCCAGAATGGCCCCCTAATATAGACTGTCTAGATTGGTCAACCATTCCTCCACATGGGAAAAATTGATGGGGCTTGTTTAGAGAATCCCAACAGTAGAAGATCAAGACTGTAATCAGTCTTGAATCCTAATAGGTTTTAGGTTTACAAAACAGAAGAAAAGTGAGAAAGGAGAAGGAATAGAAGAGAAACAGGAGAACACAAGGGGTTGAAAGGAGGGATAGATTCTAACAGATCTGCCGCCGCCACTCTTATTATTTATAGGTTATGTTCAGTACATAATGGAAAGGACA